TTGATGGACTGCCCCTTCTGAACATTTAATTCCCCATCTTGCTGTCCATTTTTTCTGGCTGAATTCGCATGAGATTTTGATGCTGTCTTGTCCGAAGATAACTGTAAATTTGAGTTTGTACACAACATCCCAGCATGGATGTTCTTTTCTAGTGCAGCCGGCATGGAGGCTTTTGATGTCTAACCATTTACGAGCTTCCCCTTGTCACTCGTGGCATGTTTATTGTAATTGCAACCAAGAGTGGAATGCCCAAACACTTTACAAGAACCGCAAAATTTTGGTTCATGCTCGAATATAATTTCTTGCTCCCTCAAAATGCCATTAGGAAGCCTTATCATTACCACCCACACAAGCTCAATAGATGCATCAACTTCAACTAGTGCTCTTGCATAGGATAGTCTACCTCTATTTGCCATGACCTTATCGGTCGAGATGGGTATACCAACTTTGGAGACAATTTTACCCAAAGCATTCGTGTTCCAAAACTCCAATGGCAATCCCGGCAAGTTGATCCATACTGACATAGTGCTAACATCCTTATCATCGAAATCAAAGAAACGGGGCATGACTTTTAACATTAATGGTCTTCCATATACCAAGTAGGGACCACCATGCAACACACTTAGCCTTTCCGAGTCCGTCTCAAATTTGAAGACCAACCACCCGCTCGAGTGCACAAAGTATTTGTAATTAACCTTCCACGAATCACACAATTGGAGTAAGGCCACTTTCCCTGGAAACCTATGAGCAAAATACCCAACAAGCTCATATCCCCAAGTATTTTCAATATTATCTTCATCTGATTCACCCAAGACAAGTTCATCCAAATGATTTTCGGAAGGTTTCAACTTAATATTTTCCTCCATTTTTCTATTGTCTTTAAAAAGGTTTACCAATGGAGTTTTTGTATCTTTCACACCATCAACATTAACATTTTTTGGTTTCTTCAATTCCACCGAATGCAATTCAAAATCAGAATTTTTAGATTCCGTATCATTTTCATCAAGTGTTAATGATACACTAGGTGAGGGCAGATTTACCTTATTATCCTCCACCAAATTGGTCTTCGAATTGGCAACAACGCCCCCTCCAACATCAGCCTGCTGACCAGCTAGGGGTTTAAGAGGAGCCAACCCACTATATTGGCCAGCAACAGATTTTTTCTTCCCCATGCAGAACAGAAAACGGGGGCAGCTGGGAAGATAAACACGGGCAGGAGAAAGACCCAACATGAAGAAGAAAAACAGCCCAAAAATTTAACCTAATAGGAGATATACAAGCCCAACACGTCCAGGCCTAACTGGCCTAAAAAATGGGGGAGAAATGGGCCACCAACAGAATTCTGGGAATAAGAATAAAAGGCACAATAAGGGGGGAAGGGCCTGGTCAAAGGTATAATAACGGCCCAAAGAAATCCAGCTAAAACAGGCCCAAATAAAGGATCCGACTCACACCGAAACCCAACAGAAAGTCTGGAAATAAATGTTTGAAAACTTTCCCCAAGAGGAAAGCCAAAGACCGTCTGATTAAACTTACAATGGCTCAAAAATAGATTGCAATTAATGAGAACTCACCCAAAATGGAAGCCCCTCAGACCGACACCAAAATATGCAATAAAAGAATCTAAAAATGGAGGGACCAGTCTGCAAATCCAGGAACCACAGCTTTGACCAGAACAGTCCAGCAACGGTCAACAAGTTCAGAATCGAGAGACCACCAATACATACAAAATACATACAATCCCAGCACAATGAAGAATACCAAGAACACACGCAAGTCCCAGGCAGATCGAAAATCAATCCCAAACTGAAACTGAAGAAGATAGAACCTGAAGAAGGCTGGACAACTCAAAATGAAGCAGGCTGGACAACTCGAAATGGTGGGCAATGGCTGCCCCACCCGGTATGTTTTCCATAATAGCCTTTGACCAAGTTATTTGTTAAAAAAAAAAAAAAAAATGTAAACAAAATGTGTAGGGTCGAAAATACCCTCATTTAGAGGAAAGAAGAGAAGAGAAAATAGAGAGAAAAGAAAAGAAAAAAAGGGAAAAATCAGCTACTGACCGTCGACGTCGCCTACGGACTGCCCGGACCTCACCAACTTCGACCAAGACCAGAGCCACCTCGGATTCGCCGGAAACCGTCATTTTCTGGAAGGTTAGACATGTTTTCTATAAATAACTACTTTGAATTTGTGATAGTTTGAATGTTTAGGATGTGAATATGGGTTAAATTCATGTTTTTATAGTTAAAATGTAAGAAAATATCGAATTTGAGGTTAAAATCTTGAAAAAAAGGGGGCGGAGCTCGCCGGTATGGTCCGTTACGGACCACACCGGACCCGGATTTTGGTCCGGGTCCGGCTAACCGGCCCAAATCCGGGTCCGTCAAATATATATATATATATATATTTTTGGTTGTTGTGTGTGTTTTAAGAAATAAAATGAAAAATAAAAGAAATAATATATTAAGAAAATTAACGAAGTATTTAAAGATAAATTAAATTGAGTTTTAATTTTTGTTCTTTTCTACTTAAATATACGTTTCAAATAAATAATCGAAATAGAGTAATTAAATATGAAATAAATAATATACATAATTAACGAAATATTTAATGAATAAATTTAAAAAAATAATATTTTTTTTTACTTAAAGAATTAAGATAATGAATTAAAGAAATAGTAAAACGAAAAATCGAATAAATATTATTCAAATAAATAATCGAAATAGAGTAATTAAATATGAAATAAATAAAACACATTATTAACGAAATATTAAAAGAATAAATTAAATTGAATGATATTTTTTTACCTAACCAATCAAGATAATTAATTAAAGAAATTGTGAAACGAAAAATCGAATAAATATTATTATTTTTATTCAAATAAATAATCGAAATAGAGTAATTAAATATGAAATAAATAAAACAAATGTTTGACGAAATATTAAAAGATTAAATTAAATTGAATAATATTTTTTTACCTAACCAATTAAGATAATTAATTAAAGAAATAGTGAAACGAGAAATCGAATAAATATTATTATTTTTATTCAAATAAATAATCGAAA